TTTGTCGGGCCACGTAGATAATCTGCTTCATCCAAGGTCCGTTGGAGTTGGAGGGCCACCACCTTCTCAACAACCTTCCCTAAAAAACGGAGGTTGGAGACTGGACAATAGTTTTTTAAGAATAGCTGGATCCAGAGAAGGCTTCTTGAGGAGGGATCTCACCACCGCCTCCTTCAGAGGTTGTGGAAAAGAACCCTCCCGCAAGGAAGCGTTCGTAATTCTCTGGAGCCAGCCTCGTGTTACCTCCCTGGTCGAAACCAGCCAGGAGGGACATGGATCCAGTAAACAGGTAGAGGCACTCATCGCTCCCATGGCCTTGTCCACTTCATCAGGGGACTCACACCCTACAGTCTCCGGAGCAGGGATCCTGTGAGGAACTAATGATTCTCGGATAATAATTGCCACTTCCCGACCCCTTCTCTGGTGTCATGGTTGGTGGAGCACCTGGAACCCTTCCGGGCACATTTCTGAGAGCGGGACTACTCCCTCATGGCCCAGCCAGGTTTCAGTAATACATGCCAGGTCTGCCCCCTCGTCAAGTATTAGGTTGCCAGGATTGAGAAGCACTACATGAAAGGACAGCCATGCGTGTTGTTTTTCCTGTCATGAAAGGGAGAGGAGTTCTCCAGTCACAGGTTGTGGGGTAAAACGCGGGCCCAGCATTGTCCAAAGCTGGACTGCAATCTGGAGGCTGTTTCTTAAGGCATCTTCCTTTTGACCACCTTCACCTAGGAGAGGCTCCCTCTGGAAGGGCACAGGGTCCCCTACTTGCCAAAGCTGGGAGGTTGTCCAGCACCCTGTGCTTCATCACGGCCTGGAAGGGTCCTCCGGCTGGGGTATTTTCAAGCTCCTCTGTATGGGTCTGGTGCTCCATGCCAGAATTGTAATGCTGGGCTGGGCTGGGAGGGAGAGTGCAGCTTCTCAGGGAACATGAGAAATTGACCTCTGGGAAAAGAGGAGAAACAAGGAGAAAGAAGTGATTGTGCAGGTAATTGTGGGATCCAGACATCAACTGTATCTTCTAGGAGATCAATTATTATAAAACTGTCTCCCTCTGGAGAATATAGTCTAACTACATCTCTAAGCTAGAGAGTCCCAGCAATATGCTGATTAAAATGTTGGATCAGTCAAGCCCCCCTCTGGGAGAGGAGAGGCTGGCTGTCCTTCTCTCTCAACCCAGCCTTCCTGGCATGCTTGTTAAGTGTAAGTTTGTTAAGTGAGAAGTGGGAGGAGATGGCAGGAAGGAAAGGCAGGAAATGTAAAAGCAAATTCTGCCTCATATTTTGCCGGAGAGACATTTAAATAAATGCAAGATCTGTTCATTTTGTGGAGAGAAATGCATTTTGATTCATCTTGATGTCCTGATGTTGTTTTTGCTGCAGATCAGGGTCCTCCTGTCTGTTTCTACCTTTCTGAAGCACATCCCCCACACACCCCCAGTTTGCTTTACGCTCAGATTGGAAAAGAATTGGGGGCGGGAGGAAGCAGAGGGATGCAAAACCGCATTGGTGCCTGAACTGCTTCAAGCTCAAAAGGAGGATGGGAGGCTCTTGATAGGGGAGGACAGTGCCGAGTTGGCTCAAGCCATGGAGAGCTCCAGATTTTGCATCCCTCTCCTTGAAAGCTCATTCATTCCATGAAATCATCTGTTTTTTCCTAACACTCTATCAGCATGTTCAATGTGACAATGTGTCTTCCAGCCTAAAGATCTCCAAAATGGTGGTGGTAGGAGACCTCTGCGTTGGAAAAACAAGCCTTATCAACAGGTATTATAATGCTTCCTTGTCGAAACAATTCCATTTCCAGCAGCAATTAAGGGCGGCTTCTGTGGGTTATTCTAAATTCACTGGCCATTTCCTGCAGGGATCTTTGAGTGCTATGCAGGTTGCTTTGGGCCCTTTCTAGGGTGGGTGAAGCCCCTGTTGCTTGGGAGCACTGGAGGCTGATGGAACCGCCGGGCCTTAAAGCCAGGCCATGGGCAGGGTGCAAAGGAAGATCCCTCCCTCCCCCCCTCCCTTCCCCTCCCCTCCATGAAGGCTGTGGATGGACCTGGAGCTCGAAAACTGCACTTACGACCTTTATTCCTGTTCCACAAAGCGCAGATAATATTAGTTGTCGTATTGACATTGAGTCTTTATTGATTAGCTCTTGGGCCATATCAAGGTGCCAAATTCTAGAAACAAATTATTACTAAATTTGATAAAAGTAATATAAAATGGAATTTGATAAAATACAATTTAAAATGGAATTGGAATAAAATACAATTTAAAAAGGAATTGGAATAAAATACAGTCTAAAATGAAATTGGAATAGAATACGTAATTTAAGATATAGATAAAATACGATAAAATTATATTTTGGTGTCACCTCCGCAATCTACTCCAATCAGTCCCACATATGCAGATCTCAATCAAACCATTTTGGTTAAGGACTGAAAAGTACATTTGCATTTACTCAGCCATTTCAAGTTACCCACCTTACTAAGGGTAGCGATATCATTTTGTGCTTCTATATCCTTAATTCTTTGGGCAGCTCTTTTTTTGAGTTGTTCTCCTGTTACGCAAGAGACAGGAAGGCCACAGCTTCTTACCGAATTTCTTAGTTTGGTGATCCAGGAGATTTGTGATTGCAATTTTATTTGCTCTAACAGACATAACTTGGGGAGTCTATCAGTCTCCATTTCATTGACTTTGTACCAGTAGTTATATGCTCTAATTTTGGATAGCGCATGAATTGTATGAATTCCCAATTCAGCTCTAACTGCTGCAGCAGATGTTCTTGGATCTACACCCAAAATACATCTCAAATCCTGGGATTGTGTTTGTTCTAGGACTGTGGTTGAGTATCGACCCCAAACTTCTGCTCCATACAAGAGCACAGGGGTAACCTTAGCTTTATAAATTAATGGAGCTGGGGAGCCTGGGTAAGTATGGTACTTTAGTTTAAGCAGTAAATTCAAATGGGCTTTAGTTCTAAATGTATAACATTGATGATGGCAAGCCCAAGATCCCAAAAGTTACACCTAAATATACAAAGGTGTTAACCTGTTCAATTGGTTCACCATCTAATTGCCACCTATGTCTCTGATGGTGTTTTCTAAGCACCATTATTTTTGATTCAGATTTACTGATGATTAGGTAGTTATCCTGGCAATAAGAGCTGAATCTTCTTAATAGCCTACGTAATCCTACTAGTGTATCATCAGCACAAAGCAAGCTGTTGCAGTAAGTATTTAGGATCATCGGATCCTTCATTAACCCTGGGATTGATATACAAACTAAATAATAATTAGGCCAGGATACAACCTTGCCTTACCTCTTTATTTGTGTGAATCCTGTTAGTCCAGAGCCCCATTAACCCCATACTGCACCCTCAAACAGGTACTTGTGTAAAGGGCTTTAATCAAAACCAGGAATCTAGGTTCTACTTTAACAGATGTCAATCTACTCCATAGTACTTTTCTATTTACCATATCAAATGCTGCTGTAAGGTCTATGAAAGCAGCAAAGTTGTTGTAGGCATCATAAAAATAACAAATGTGCTTATTTGAAATTTAACTGTTCTTGGGCTTTTCTCAAGCTCACATCACTGAAATTTCAGAAGGAATGTGCAGCATATTTTTGACTACCACATTTTATTTAAAAGCAGAAGCTTCCGTTCCCTTTATCAGATGTCGGGAGCAGTTAAGTTCATCCCTTTTCTCTGCCATTTTGTGTTCTTCCCACGCTGATCGGCTGGCCTGTGTGCTGAACTGTTTGTCTGAACTGGACTGTCTCCCAAATGCGCACATAAAGGGACAACCGCAGCCTTTGGAAAGAACTTCCAAGATTTAACCCAAAGGTGATTTTTCAAGAGGCAGCTGGACTTTCTGGTTTTTCTTTGAAGACGTTTCGCTTCGCATCCAAGAAGCTTCTTCAGCTCTTTGCCTCTTGAAAAAGCACCTTTGGGACAGCCATGACTGAGAATCTCCATAGACTACCAAGACTTAAATGAGGTGCTGTTTTTTCCCTAACCATTTTTCAATCACAGGTTTTGTAAAGAGGTTTTTGACCGGGATTACAAGGCAACCATTGGGGTGGATTTCGAAATTGAGCGTTTTGAGATCGCTGGGGTGCCCTACAATCTTCAGATGTAAGTTGGAAAGCGCTCCTGTCCCCATTTCCAGGTATATGGAAGGTTCACTGGAATAACCTTAAAGCAGCATTTCTGATGGAAAAGGCAGTCTTGAGTTTCAGAATGCCTTCGCTTGAGGGAGTTTGCATATTTTATGCGCATGCACTTACCCTGACAGACAGAGAACGAAGCGTGTACTCGGGATGTTGGGCATCGTGCTTCAACTCCCAGATTCTGTCAGCCCTCTGTGGTAGACCAGACTGGAACCCCAGAGTGCACAGATGACTTTTATTACAGAGTTATGGTGTAGATAGTCCTTGACTTATGGCCACAATTGATTCTGCCTGCTTCGGTCATATGTTGTGACAGTTGTAAGGTGGGCCACCCACATGACAGACCCGATTTTACCTCTCTCTCTTTTTTATGTGGTGTTAAACAAGCCCATTGTTAGCTAGGAGGCATTTTTGCTGGAATGCCAGTTATTGGCAAAAACATCATCATAAATTTTGGCTACATGACCCTGGGATGCTTCAAGCAGCTGTAAATGCAGACCATTTCCTTAGTGCCTGAAATGTGGTCACATGACTGCTGAAGAAGGAGCCATTCAAACTCTGGAATTGGATCGTAAATACCTTTGGTTGGGGGCGGGGGTCTGTTGTAAGTTGAGGACTACCTGTAACAGATTCTTGCAAGCCTGTGTGTGCCTACCCCCTCGCTCTTGGGAAATAGGGTGAGTCCTGTCTGAGAAGCTTTCTCAAATTAGTTTCTGCCCCAATTCAGATTTTTTTTATCTGACTACTGCAGCTTTTCCTCCTGTCCCTCAAGGTTATTCCTTCTGCCTGCTAGAGACGCCCATCCAGCCCTGTAAGCTCAGATCTGAAATCCCAAAGCCTTTGATGAGGAGGGAGGCTCAAGAGTTTGGGGTCTATGTGGGCTTTCTTAGCTCAGCCTAAAAAGATGCCTCGGGCCCCATCGGAGCCCTCCAGGCAGAGCAATGGAGAGGGTTTCCCAGCAGAAAGCCTCTCTGGAGAAGAAAAGCTCATTCCGAGGGAGGCGATGTGCTTGTCCTGGCCTTGGGGCTTCTTCAATAGGCATGGTCTCTTAGGGCCTTCAGCTGAATGTGCCAATGAGGACCATAACTGGTGACCCAGGATGGAAGCTGGCTGGCTGGGATGTCTCGGAGGGAGCTTCTTCATTCCAGCCTTTATGGGAGAAATTGGAAACTCTGGCCAGGACTGGCAAGCCAAGATGGTTGTAGCCCCTGAGGGAACAGTCTTCCTGGGAAGACTGTTGAGCAACGTCTGAATGCCAAGCATAGCATCCCCATGATCACATGATTTACTTTCAGATGCTTGACAGCTGACTCATACTTATGGCGGCTGCAGTGTCCCAGGGTCACATGATCCCCTTTTGCGATCTCCTGACAAGCAAAGTCAAGGGGCAACCCAGATTCACTTCACAAACTTGTTAACTAATTTAACAACTGCAGTGTTCATTTAACAAATGTGGCAAGAAACATCGTAAAATGGAGCAAAACTCACTTAACACTGTGTGTGTGTATGTTTTAATTTTGAAGAATGGGAGGAAGTTGTTCTTTGGGCTTCCTGCTTACTCTATACTTTAGCTCCGTCAGTGGGAGAATTTAGGTCCCCTCGGAGCCCCTGGTGACTTTCTCCTTCCCTCCTGCCCAGATGGGACACGGCCGGCCAGGAGAAGTTCAAGTGCATCGCCTCCACCTACTACAGAGGAGCGGAAGGTGAGCCCAGGGTGAAGACACCCTCCTTCTTTGCCCCCCCCCCCCCATCTTTGGCATGGCCAACCGGTGGCTCAGGTGCTGCTCAAACATTGCATAATCTTATTTTACTTTCTTGGCAGTGATTGTCACAGTTTTCGACTTGGCTGACATCCAGACTTTGGATCACACCAAGTAAGTCCTCTCTGGTTTTCCCTTGTGACTGACTGACTTTGCCTATCCCACTGAGCCACGAATGACGGGACCAGGTTTACTGGCTGAAGAAGATCTGCCTGCTTTTACACAAAGCCAAAGTCGAGCAAACCCTCTTACAATTCAACCATTGTTTGGCCAAAATAATACCATGGTGGGAGACGTCAGTGATATGGGGTCGGCATACTAGGAGTCCGTGGTGGGTGGAGAAATGGCCTATTAGTGTCGCATCATGAAGCATTAAGCTTACCAGGATGATTAAAGGATCCAATCCTGCATACCCACGCACGCACGCACACGCGCAGGCAACGGAAAGGCCTTCAAGCTGTCCTGTGCCATTTCTGTAACAAAGAGTCAAACTCGTCTTCACTTGGAATTTGAAATCATGGCTCCTCCACATTTAGCTGAGAGCCTTTGCCTCAGAAAAACCCCAAGCGAGTTAAATATTAATTTGCATGCGGAGAAGGGGCATGCGTGCATTAAACTATGTGGGGGACATGGCTTCACCCTGCCTGTCAATGAGGGAGGCACCGTTTTCTTCCTGCTGTGTGGAATCAAGCTGGGCAGGTCTTCCTAAAGGGCCCAGGAGGAGGAGGCCAAGGGAGGCTGAAGGCTTGGCTCGTCCTGATGCCCTTATGCCAGTTGACTCCGAAGCGCCTCTGCAGGCTGCGCGTGAGAGGAGGGCACAGCCATTCTGGGTTCTGATAAGCGGCTTCCCTCCAGCATTGCCTCCGGCTCAGCTCCTTCGGGCTCCGGGGTCCTTTGGCTGGTGTGGTTTCACCCCGGCTCTTTCCAGAGGGAGGATCAGCTGGCTTAACCAGCCTGGGTGGGCAGGGGGCCTGTATGGGAAGGGCCTGGCACAGGGAGTGTCTTGTTTGCTGAGCAGGAGAACAGATGGTGCACCTTCCGTGCCTCTGCCCTCTGCCTCTCCTTTTTTCCGTATCACTCGGGGCATCACTGGATGAGTTTGCCGGTTCAAAGGAGCAACGGTGCAAACATGGGCAGATGGTCGGCCGCCCCCTGATTAGCTTTGCAGAGAGAAAAACAGGCTGAATGCTGAGAGGCAGAAGGCAGGGATCTATTTATTTAAAACGTTGCTCTAGCTCCCCCCGCCTTAGAACAGAGTCGGTGGTTCCCAATCAAGAATTAAAGCAACATAAAATAATATTAAAAGCCATAAACACCGACGAAAGAAACCAGGTACCATGTCAAGCTTCCAACCTGCAGTCACTCCCATCCCACCGTCGGGGGAAAGGGGGGTCTTCAGTGCATTACGGAAGGCCAGGAGGGAAGAAGCCTGCCAGGTTTCAGGCAAAGGGGCAGTGGCTACCATGGAGAAGATGGGCTTCCTACTTCCCATAAAATGGCTATATTTTGGTGAGGGGACCAGGGCTGTGCCCTCCTTATTTGATCTGGAATGATGGATAGAGGTCTTAAGGCCGTGGGAGTAAACCTATGGCACACGTTTTTGAGGACATGCGAGGCTTGGCCCTGTCAGCTCCATCTGTGCACTGGCCAGCTGATTTCGGCCTTGATTTTCTGCCATTTTTTGCCCTTCAGAGGCTTCTGGAGGCTTCCCAGAAGCGTCTGGAGGGCAAAAAACAACGCGCAAACCAGAAGTTTGGGAACTGAATTCTGGTTTGCACATTGGGTTGTTTTTCGCCCTCCTGAGGCTTCAGGGAAGCCTCCTGAAGCCTTTGGAGGGAGAAAAATGGCCCAATGGGCAACCTGGAAGTCCGTTCCTGAACGTCCGGTTTGTGTGTTGGGCCGTTCTTTGCCTCCTGGAGGTTTCAGGAGTTCCCCGAAGCCTCTGGAGGGTGAAAAACAGGCCAACACACAAACTGGAAGTCCGAAAAAGGGCCGTTTCTGGCCTTCACAGGCCTTGGGGGGGGGCGTTTTTGCCCTTCCCAGGTTCCTAGAAACCCTCGAGCCTGGGGAGAGCGAAAAACGGACCTTCTGGTCTGACCAGAGGTTGGCAAACAGGCCTTTTTCGGCCTCCCCAGGCTCCTAGAAAGGGTCTGGAGCTTGGGGAGGGTGAAAAACGTGTCCACTGTGCCATCACGTGCCAAAAGCAGGAGGAGTGCAGGGGGTCGCACGCTCAGGCATGGGGGGGTACAGGCACATAGAAGTATGGGTGTGGGCACGCAGACGCATGTTCCCCCACCGCTTTTGGCACGTGATGGCACAAAGCTTAGCCCTCCCTGTCCTCGGGGAAGGCAGTTCGACAAATAACCTGGGTTTTGGAAGTGGTGAGCAGCATCTTGAATTGCACCTGGAAAGAGACTGGGAGGCAGGGCAGGGCAGGTCACGCCCCAGAGACACTACATGGGCCAAGCGTGGGGGGCAGGGATCGCTGTTTGTGCTGCTGTGTTCTGCACTAGCTGAGGTTTCTGCATGATTTTCAAAGGCCGCCCATCACAGTGATCCACATAGGGGACCCAGGTCCCTCTTGCAAAGAAGCTCTTTCTTTACTGCTCTTCCAGACCAGATAAGCAGGTGGAGGCTGCCCATTGCAGCAGGACAGGGAGAGGCATCTTTGGGGCTGGGGTGGCAGAAAAAGGCCTCTGCAGGGGGACCTTCTGGCCCAAGCCAGGACTGATACAGGTGTGTCTTCTCAGTGTGTCAGATGATCCCTCCCTTGCTCACCTGTCCTCTTCTCCCTCTCCAGACGGTGGCTGGAGGATGCCCTGCGGGAGAATCATCCCGGCTCCAGCTTTGTCTTTCTGGTGGGAACTAAGAAGGATCTGCTGGTGAGCCTGAAGGAATCTCTCTCTCTCCCTCCCTCTCTCCTCTGCCAGAAGAGACCACGGGCATCAAGATGGCAGCCAAAAAAACAGGCGGAACTTCCATTACCCGGTTCTGTCTCCAATCTTGGTGTTTCTGACCATAACCTGTAGACAGGTGTTAAGAGACCCTGGTGGGGTTATCCCCTAGACCCATTCTTTTGGCATGGGGGCAGTTTATTTGATAGATCAAGAAGATGCACTGGGCGCCCTTATGAAGCGAATGAGGGGAGGGTGGTGCCTTTGCTGCCCTCCACCACAAAAAGTCTGTCCCCTCCCTCTGCCCTGGGCTTTCCTTTCTCCTTTCTCTAGGGAAGCGGCTGCATCTCCCCATTATTGATTTTCTCAGGAAGCTCATTTGGGCTCTTCTTGGAAAGGGACGGGTGCTGTGGTTGAGGCTGGGGGCTTCCCCTGTGGAATCTCTTTCATGCAGACTAGGCCAGAAGGGCAGGGGATATACAGAGGACCCCAGCCTGTCTGTCACCCCTCCCACCACATTCCTTGGTGTTGCTGGCCCCCTCCCTTTTCCCTTGGATGTAGGAAGGATCCAAGCCTTGGAGGGACTGCTGGGCTGGCTGTGTGGCCCCTGATGCCACGTCCCTCACTTGCGGCATTCAGGCCTGGCCCAGCCGCCTCTGGCCAAGGCGAGTCCATTGCCCTGATCGAGGAGATACTGGACAAGGGCAGCCACTCAGCCCCCAAGAGTCCTCATATGCCAGGCTGCAGTCAATTCTGCTCCCTCTAGATCTCCTGTGGAGGCCTTTCAAGCTCACTGCCCCACCCTATTCCTGCAACTGGGGATTCCCCCACAACCCCTCATGGCCTGGAAAGAGGGCAGTGGAGAGACAGGCATTTGGTTTTGGGGGGGGGGGGGACAGCATCTCATTCCCCCTCTGTGGCTCTGCATTTCCATTTCAGTCCAATGCCGAGAGCGAGCGGATGGAGCGGGATGCCATCCATCTGGCCAATGAGATGCAGGCAGAATATTGGTCTGTCTCGGCCAAAACAGGTCAGTTGAACCCCAGGAAGGTAGCACAGCAGATCAGGGAGGGAATGGACCCCCCTCGCTTCCCCCTAGGACTGTCTGGAAGGTTTGGTGCCCTCAGGAGGCTTCCTCGCATGCAAGGGAGATCTTGGGCAACAAGACTCATGTGCCTTTGCTCTCCCAGCAAGCGGCCATGTTTGTCCCTTCTCTGACTAGAGGAGCAACAGCTAGCCAATATATCCACTTGCCGGGTTTTAAGGTTTTGAGGGGGGGTCTTCCCCTTTCTCCTCTTTATTCAGGGGAAAATGTCAAGGACTTCTTTTTCCGGGTGGCTGCCTTGGCCTTTGAGAGGTCTGTGCTAATGGAGCTGGAGAAGAGCTGCAACCGGCTGCTGCCAATCGGCACAGGAGACCTCATTAGTATGTTGGCCCGACTCCCCCCCTCCCCCTCCTCAGGACAGCAGTCAGAGGGGCTCTTTCCTTCTACAGCAGCGTTTCTCAGCCTTGGCTCCCTGGAGACGGGGCGACTTCAACCCTCTGGATTCCCCAAGATGCTGAGTTGATCCCCCAGCCATCTTCAAGCGGCCACGGCTGAGAATGAGGCAGAGGGGGGGGGGGCTCTAGGGGGCTCCTGCCCAGAAGCAGCTCCTGGGGGATCCAGTGGGGCTTCTTCTGCTTGAGCCCAGGGAAGGACAGCATTGGCAGCCACTCTGGTTCAACTCTTCCGAGGGAGCGGAAGGGACATCCAAGCCCATCCTGGAAAACACAAATACAATAGCTGGCCTTTGGGGGTGGGAGGAGAGGAAACCTGTGAAGCCCCTTCCCTCCCTTGGTCTCCTCTTGCAGGAATAGAAGAAAACGTGGCGTCTTCACACGGATCTCATCCATCCAACCTGAACTGCTGCTAAGGGCTCCCAGGGGACCCACCGCAGTGCAGGCTTCCCCCATCACTCTTGGACAAGGAGGGAATCACTGGATCTCGGAGAAGCACAAAAGAGCCAGTCCCCACCTCCGCTGCTCCCAAAGCCTCTCTGAGCCATGGAGGCTCACCTGAGGACAAGACCAGTCTTTCTCTGGAAGGGCCCAGTTTCCCTGGAAGCTCTTCGTGCTCCAAATGCAAAGCATTTGCCTCCTTGTTACCTGGAGATGAGACGAACGGACCAGATCGACTGACTGGGCCAATTCAGGGCAACAGCCCCAAACCAGCTGACTCTTCCTGGCAGCCGCAAATTCTACTTGAACTGGACATCTAGTTAAACCTTAACCACGAAATAGCTGTTAAAACCGGCAGGAGAAATTTGTACTTCAGAGTGGGAGATCTGGAGTGAGAAAATCTGGTGACCCCTGACTGTCTCCGACTTCAGGCCTGTCTACTGGCCTCTGGACACCAGAGGGTCTTGCTCTGACTTAATTGCCTGAATTACTTGTTAGTGTTGCTTAGAACGAACTGCCAGGGCAGCCCCTGTAAAACAGAGCTTTCTTTTCATGTCCTTTGTACAATTAAAGGCTCTGCCGGAAGGCCCAGTATTCTGTGCTGTGCTCCTCATCACTCAGTAAGACCTTAGCAGCAATTGGTGAAGCCCACTAGCCATGGCCCTTAGACTTATATATATGCCGCTTCACAGTCCTTTCCAGCCCTCGTCACGCGGTTTACAGAGTTGGCCTATTGCCTCCAAATCTGGGTCATTTTACAACCTCGGAAGGACGGAAGGCTGGGTCAACCTTGAGCCTGAGAGACTCCAACTGCCAAACTGCTGGCAGCCAGCAGAAGTAGCCTGCAGTGCTGCATTCTGACCACTGTGCCACCAGAGAGCTGGGTTCAAGATGCCAGTTCTCACACTTTCGCTTCAGGGAGACCCCTCGGCTAGTGGTGGAGAGGCATGTCCAGCATCACAGAAGAACTCTGAAGGAGAAATAAATTTCCACAACTGCCCCCCCCTCGCCAGTGGACATTACCTGCAGCACCCAGTAGCCTTGCTGCATCCTATGCCAGAGCATGGCACTGCCCTTCTTGGTTGAAGGGAACATTTACCCATCCCAGGCAACGAACGTTTCCTGCCTCCAAACGATGCACTGTGGGAAATGGCTTTGTTTGCAGAGATTTTCCTCTGGGCTATAATTGTTTCACCACACAGAAGCTTTTAGTAGTATAGGTAGTCCTTGACTTACAACCACGATTGAGCCCAAAATTTCTGTTGCTAAGTGAGACAGTCACTTTTGCCCCTTGCCAGTTGTTAAGTGAGCCATTGCAGTTGCTAAGTGGGTAACAGTTAAGTGAATCTGGCTTCCCCATTGACTTTTGCTTATCAGGTGGTTGCAAAAGTCATGTGACCCAGGGACACCGCGACGACCTTCATAAATATAAACCAGTGGCCAAGTGTTGGAATTTTGTTTACATGACCGTGGGGATGCTGCGACCATCATAAGTGTGAAAAATAAGTCACTTTTCAGTGCTATTGCAACTTCAAACTGTCACTAAGTGAAGGGTTGTAAGTCGAGGACCTGTATTGATGATGCCCAAGAAGTAAATGGCGCAAGCAGGCCTTTCTTTAGCCATAAACAGCCTCTGAATCCCGTCAAATAACATGTCGAGCCCAAATAATTTTGGAGGCTTTTTGCCATGTGGGGAAAGAAATCCTTCTAACGGGTAAGGTACCCCCATGCTCCCAGCACCCAGGAGACTGGCAACCTGTGGGACCTAGCCAGTTGCTGTGGAAGCTTCTGGCTAGAAGAAGTCCCTGGCTCTGCGCTGAAAGGCAGTCCCTCTCGGCTGCCTCTGAATTGGCCAGCAGAGAGTTGCTTTGGGAAGCAGATGCTGGCCCATGCGATGCATGGCGGGGGAACACACACTCTTCCAACCACAGATCTGCTTTGTCTGGAGATGCTTTTCTGTAGCATGTCTGTCATTCCTTCAGCAGGCAGAGAGAAAACATTGCTGCCTCTGGAGCTGATCTGGGGTGCCCCTGATCAGGCACTGCTGTCATAACATCTTTCCCACATCATCCCCAGCACCACAGGGCAAGAGTGTGCTGGGGGGGGGGGAGGGCCTGGTGCTGCTTTTTAGGCAGAAAGGAGACTGTTTAGGTGTTCCTGCCTGTGAACCGCCCGAGAGCCCAGTGGCGGGAGAGGCACAGCTTTGCCAAAGGATTCGGGTTACAAAATCACAGCAGAGAGAATTGTTTTCTTCTATTTTTCTCCCCAAATTGCAGCGCTGTCACTAAGCTTCCAGGCTGCACTGAATGTGACCATCTGATATTTCTCCCGAATCTCCTTTGGACCATGGATACATGGCAGTGTACTCAGACATGCATATGCAGTACATGCAATACAGTACACACAGTGCAGAGTCTACCACAGAGCTGTCAAACTCATGGCCCGCAGGCCAGATGCTGACCATGCCTATGCCCAGTTTAGCGAAGGGGGGAAAAGTTGCGATACGTAACATGTTGACACAAGTTTGGACACTCCTACCATACTCTAAATGGAGGCAGCTTCCCTATTATGTGTCACAGAGGCTGCCAATTGCACCCAATAGCCAGACCATGAAATCCACATGGAAGACCAGCAGAGCCTGTATTGAGAGTGGCTCTTGTGCTGTCCCTCCTCAGCCTCTGCTTATTCCACTTGCAAACATTTGTCTTGTTTTTCAGAGTTTAAAAAGTTTCACACACACCCCCTTTGCTCAGTCTTGGTTCTTGCATATTTCCTTCAACATTCTCTCCCTGACTCTCTTTCCTACAGAGGCTGGTAGAGCCAGTCACCTTTTGGTGGTGAGCTGGCAAAATTTAATTTTGTGAATTTGTTTTTAATTTGTTGTTAAAAGTTGCATTAACCAGGAACCACACACTCCCCCCACCCTTGGTTGTAAGTCTGATTTGCAAAAGTATCATTGTATAGAAACACCAAGGAAAGTTCATTCTTTGTTTTGCAAAATGCCATGGGTGGGAAGGAAGGGATGTCATTATGGATACCTCTGGCTCTTAAAGTTTCTCCATCCCTCTCCCACCCTTTTAAATCTTTTTAAATTCCTTGTGGGTCCAATCACACTTGGCCAATGAACTATTCTACTCGGATAACAGGAAGCAATTTTGTAGCGATTGTGCCCTTCTCAAGACTTTCTGCTATCCTGGCATCAATTCTCCATGCTGCTCTTTTCCTCCCTTCCAGACTTCAGTCTGGAAAATTAGAATTGCAGGTTATTTCTGACTCCTTTTCTCAGCATCATATTGCCCACCTCAGAAGAGAACACGGAGAGGGCTACAGCATGCGAGAGAAGCCCACAGAGATAAAATAGATGACTTATTGAACCCAGAGAAGAAACAATTAAAAGAAAAATCTGCCTGGGATTATCTTAAGGCAGGGTTGTGTGAGAAAGTGAAATTTTAGGGATAGAATCAAGATCATGGGAAGTGTTAATACCACTTTATAATGCCTCAGTAACATCACACTTGGGATATTGGAATATTATGGTCTCCATACTATAAAAAAAGATGCTAAGACTAGAAAGAGTGCAGAGAAGAGCAACCAAGATGATTAGGGAACTGAAGGCTAAAACATACAATGAATGGTTGCAGGAACTGGGCATGTCTAGTCTGATGAAAAGAAAGATTAGGGATGACATGATAGCAGTCTTCCACTGCCTCAGAGGCTGCCACAAAGAAGAGGGACTCTAGCTATTCTCCAAAGCACCTGAAAGCAGGACAAGAAGCAATGGGTGGAAACTAATGAAGGAGAGAAATAACTTAGAGCTAAGGAGAAATTTCCTGACAGTGAGAACAAACCAGTGGAACAACTTTCCTCCAGAAGTTGTGAATGCTCCAACACTCAAAAGTTTGTAAGAGACTAGATAGCCACTTGTCTGAAACGATAGGGTTTCCTGTTTGAGCAGAGGGTTAGACTAGAAGGCCTTCTGCCTCTGCTATTCTGTTACAAACAAATCACCAGCATTAAAAGATACAGCAATTTTCACATGCTGAGAAAAGGAGTCAGAAATAACCTGCAATTCTGTGGCAGAAGAGGACAAGCCCTGGAAAGCAGTCTGAGCCCAGATTCTCAGGAAGAATCTCATGGCGAAATGTCTCAAGATCTTTCTGCTTCTCAGGCTTTGTTGATGCTCCTCAGTTTTTCAAGAGACAAGCAATGAGGTGCTGCTTCTTCACCCTCCATAAGACCCACAGCACCAACATTTGCCAGCCTTTGTGTTTTCCTTCCCATGGATCTCGGGGTTCAGTCTCTCCTCCAATGGAAAATGGTGCTCCAAATATCTGCAAGGACTTGGGGATCGATTCAGCCTCTGGGAGCCACAGGAAGCCACAGCCTCCTCCCTGAGCACCAAGGGGGGCAAGAAGAGACTTTGGCGTTGGCGATGCCCTAAATACCTCTTGGGGGGAGGGTCCCCCTAGTTCTGCTGGCGCTGGACGGACTCTCGGCTTTTCAGAAGCTTCGCGTCTCCGGCGTTGGTTTCCATAACTAAGAAGGGATCGGAGGCGCCCCGCCTGCCCCCAAGAAGCTTTTGCTGGCTGGCTAGATCTAGGCCCTTCGGAGACCGCCCTCTTCTCCCGGGACCCGAAGCGAGTCTGCAGAGCGGGGATCCCGAGAGGGTAAGGGGCCGCCTCCTTTGGCGCCGGGTCCCGAGAGGAGGAAGCCCCCGGCGGGAGGTTCGCCTGGCCCCGCTGTCCGTGGGAGGCGCTCCGGCAGAGCAGGGCGCACTCCCCCTGGCCTTTCGCTTTTGCCGAGCCCGGTTGGAGGCAAGGTCGCAAGGCAGCCCGCGCACACTCACCCCACCGGCCGGGGAGGCGAGGCCAGGGACCCTTGGCGACCGCCCGGCAAAAGCCCCGGCCTCCGGAGGCGGAGCGGCCTTCGGAGACTCGAAGCTCTGACCGAGCAGCTACTCGGCCCCCAGCGCCGGCTCCCGCCTCGGGGAAGGCGAGCCCGGAGTCCGCGCTCTGCACGTGCGCAGAGGACGCGGCCACTCCTCGCCGCCGCCACTTTAAGGGGCTGCCCCGCCCCGCCCTCGCCCCGCCCCTC